ACAACATCTTTGTTGGTATGTGGTGCTGAGGATCGAACCCAGGCTGCACGCATGCCAGGCGAGCGCGCTACCGCTTGAGCCACATCCCCAGCCCTTCCCAGTCTTTAATTAGGATTTAAGTGCATTTTTCATATGTAAAACTATTTTGCAATTTTTTCTTTGTACTGTCCTTGAGGCGAGACAAGTTATACTAGCCTTGTAGAATGAATTTGGTGTCTTTCTCTTTTTAAATTTTCTGTCTTTATTTCAATGGAAAAAACATTGTTTGAACTCTTCCATACAACCATGTGGGCAAGAAGCTTTTGTGAAATGAGAAATTCAATCATTGTTTCTATTCCTTCAGAAATTCCTTGCCAGAAAAAAATAGAAATTCCTTGCTGTGTGCGAAGGCACACGCCTGTAATCCCAGAAGCTCAGGAGGCCGAGGCAGGAGGATGGCGAGTTCAAAGCCAGGCTGTATAACTTAGTGAGCAACTTAGTGAAACCCTGTCTCAAAATTAAAAACAAAAAAAAAACAGATAGGCCGGGGATGTGGCTCAGTGGGTAGGTGCCCCTGGGTTCAATCCCTGATACAAAAAATATCTTAGGATTTCTGGATTATGGATGCTCTCCATTTCCCCTCATCAAAACTGGGCATTTTACGACTTGCCATAAAGGTCTCTGTTTCTCTTAGGCCATCAAATATACTGGTGTGTGTTTGTGGGTCCGGGCGTCCTCATGTGTACGATGGGTGTGGTTAGAATGCTGGTGTGCAAGGCTGTTCTTGAGGCTTGAGGAGAGTGTGTGCAATGTGCTTCTCCAGCGTGAATGCCTGGCTCACTGTCCTCACCTTCCAGGGTCCCTGTCAGGGACGTAGCTGGGAACAGCAGAAAATGTAGCTCAACCTGGCGTAAACAGTGAAAAGAAAAAAAAAAGTTATTTCACAAAACCCAAGTTCAGTTGGGGCGAGCTCCGGGCTCGGCTGAACCAGCGGCCCAGAGCTTCCTCCGTCTGGTTGGAGCCTGCCCCCTCCTCAGCTCCGACGTGTGGTCTCATCCCCAGGCTGGTTCCCAGCGTGGTAGAAAATGGTGGCCAGTGGCTATGGGAGCCGTGGGCTGCTCCTCCTCTCCAACAGGAGAAGGAGAGCGGACCCCTCCTCCTGAATGGGGCCGTGAGACCTCATGTGAGCCCGGGTCACATGCCAGTTTGAACCTAAGGGTGAGTGTCACATGATGATGACCCAGATAATCAATATCTGGATCAGAAATTGGAGAGTGTGTCCGAATCGAATCAGGACTGAGATGGAAGGACAGGATGGATGGATGGTGGGATAAGTGGGAGGAGGGGGGATGAACAGGATGCTAGGTAGGTGGATGGATGGA